TCAAGATGTAGTTAACCACACACACATCAAGATGTAGTTCACCACGCACACATATACTTGATATATGTGTGCGTGGTGAACTACATCTTGATGTGTGTGGTTAACTACATGTAGTTAACACACACACACACATCAAGATGTAGTTAACACACACACACATCAAGATGTAGTTAACCACACACACACATCAAGATGTAATTAACCACACACACATCATGATGTAGTTAACCACACACGCACACATCAAGATGTAGTTAACTACACAAATACCATATAAGTGGTAAATCACTATCAAAATATGAAGTGAATTAAAAACAAACAAGGAAGTTTGAAGATCCAAGTTATTATACACAGAAAGATAACACATCGTGGTCCTAAACACACAGAGCATGTGTAAAAAACTAAAAAAAACCCTGAAATTTAGAAATCATTTTAGTTGTTTAATTCAAACTATTTCACACCAATAATACGTATCAACAAGAGCAATGAGAAAATAGAGAATCAAAGTGATTAAACCCAACACAAATTTTGATCTCAAATTTAGTAAATTGTAAAAGCAAAACACTTTCACTGAAGCTTTACTGGGAAACCTTTGTTGATTTCTTTAATAACAGAATTCACAACATATGTTAAAGAATACAGAGAAAAATGTATAATAACAAAACAACATCAAAAATTATTTAAGCCTATGGTGACAAAAAAAGACAGAAAAATACAAAGAAAAGATTCTATTTCAAGAAAGAAATGTTTATTTAATTCCACACAACTATAGTTTCATTTTGCTGATTTTATACATATATATATATATATATATACCAAGGTAATACTTTTTTTCAATACCTGCTTAACAGTTACATGTATACACACAGGGTTGACTACATTGTATTAAAATGATTTTGAATATGCAAATCGGCAAGTCACATGTTAACTACAGCCAATATTCAGTTCTGGTGGAACAGATTGTATCAGAACAACATTTTGCCATAATTTTCCATTTGATGCCACCAAACATGTATTGCTCATGGGAAATATATGTAATAGCCCTTTCAAACAAAAAATGTTCATACACTCAAATCACAAAGATGTGTTAACATTGGAGATTTAGAATTTCCAAAATGGGGGATATCTCTTATATTTAATACACTGAAAAACAAAGGAACATGAAACAATAGTTGTCCACATACCCCAGGCAACAAGATCAGTAACAAAAGTTTTCCACATGCCCCAGGCAACAAGATCAGTAACAAAAGTTATCCACATGCCCCACGCAACAAGATCAGTAACAAAAGTTATCTACATGCCCCAGGCAACAAGATCAGTAACAAAAGTTATCCACATGCTCCACGCAAAAAGATCTGTAACAAAAGTTATCCACACACCCCAGGCAACAAGATCAGTAACAAAAGTTATCCACATGCCCCAGGCAACAAGATCAGTAACAAAAGTTATCCACATGCCCCAGGTAACATGATCAGTAACAAAAGTTATCCACATGCCCCAGGCAACAAGATCAGTAACAAAAGTTATCCACATGCTCCACGCAAAAAGATCAGTAACAAAAGTTATCCACACGCCCCAGGTAACAGGATCAGTAACAAAAGTTATCCACATGCTCCAGGCAACAAGATCAGTAACAAAAGTTATCCACATGCCCCAGATAACAAGATCAGTAACAAAAGTTATCCACATGCCCCAGGTAACAGGATTATTATGGTTAGATAAGTTATAGAAAACTGCAGGGAATGGGAGGGGGGATGCTTTTAACATGACAACCATATGACAGAACCTTTTGCAGTATAAATTATACTGCAGCACTATTATAAAGATGCGCTGTCATTAAACAAAACAGGATTTCTCAACCCATTAGTAGCAATCCAAAATTGGGTTGTTGGAATGCATGAAAAGGTTGCAAGTATATGCATTTAGAAAAAAATTATTTTTACTTTATTTCATAAGTATTTACTATGTCACTATTAACTGGGTCATAACTGCTCATCAATGTTTATAAATGGGTCCTAAGCCAAACAAATTTGTGAACTACTGAGATAGATTGGACGTAGTAACATGGACTATAACAACTCGATGAAGTTCCAAAATTATTTTAATATAAAATACTCAATCTCTTTATAACAATTGTATTTATATGTTAAACTGAAAAATAAGAATTTTAATTTGTAAAATTCATATTTTTTAATTTTGATATGATTAATTATATCCAGGCTTTTTTAAGTCTGTAGTTTATAAGGTTTAATCTACCTCAACATTTTACATTCTCTTGAAATGTAATAAATAAAATGAAAAAGTATATTTCATAAACAGTACCTCAACTAAATTTAAATACATTTTCAATAAAACAAGCTAACTTAGAAAGTAAAAGGTTTTCTAGAGCAAAATAATTATATAGTTAGGCCATTTTCTTTCTGTTAGTATTATGTTGAGTTGCAACAACAAAAATACAATAAGAAATATTGCTCTTTTCAATTTAATACCAAGGCAAGATTAGGTCATTACATAATTGTAACTTGCAGGGAAATTAGTAAGCTATAAGACAGACTAAATGTAAGAATACACAATAAACTGTAGATGATATTAAAAGGGTAGAAGCTCATTGACAAAAGAGGTCACTTTTCAATAATTGTAAGGCAACTCTTTTTTTGGGGGGAGGAGGTGTTAGGGGAGACTATGGGGCTATAGGTTGCCTCTGGTACACATAAGACAGAAAGCCATGAAAATCAAACAGAATCTCTTTTATTACTGTTCAATAAATTTTACAAACATTTTTAAAATCTAAAACTAAGCAGTAAATCCTTCTATATTAACAGTCAATAGCATATCATGATTATTTTTTTGTCATAAAGACCTACAAGTCCTTGTGTGTCATTGACTTTAAAACTGAATTCTTTCTTTTCAATAATAACTCACAGCAAGCAAGGTATGGAATCCGACATGTATATGACATTAACACTAAAACTATAAACGAAGTTGAGGAAATTTTTTTATGAATGAGAAAAGGGGCTCTTCTGGAGCATAAGGAAAATAGGAGCTTCAGCCCAACCACCCATCCCCCTATGAAAGTCACTGACACTACATCAACTTCATTATTACAATTAACATATTATCAATGGCAACAGGAATAAATATAGTAGTACTGTTAGCGCTATTACATCAGTACTGGTACAGTAGTAGTAATGTGCGTGGCATAATTAATACTAATTACTAATAACTATCACTAGAGTCGGTCGTATAGTAGTAGATATTACTATCCGTGGTATTCATATCTGTATTTTTCATGTGTACTGTTCATAAAGCAATAGTTCAAAACACAATTAAACCAATTATTGCTTACCATCCTCTTCTTTTCAAAGCTGCTTCAAAGTCTAACGCCATTTTGAAAAATGGTTTACAGTTAACACTTCCGCCCCCTAGTAACGAATTATTGTATAAATATTAACTTAGCTTGTTGTAGCCTGGAGGTAAGAAGTGCTCAACTCGCAATCTGCAGATCGCGGGTTCGAATTCAATTATCGAATATGCTCGCCCTTTAAGCTGAGGGAGCATTAAAATTATAATGTAAATGTCAATCCCACTGTCCGATTAAAGTAAGCCAGGAGTTGGCGGTGGGTGGTGTTCAACTGTACGTTAAACGTGAAATAAGCAGTGCTTAGTTGCATTCATCAAACTCGTTTATTTCTTCTCTTCTGCACCTCTTGTCACATTAACATTCCAACCAGTCAAATCTTCCAACCTCTTATTACGCGAGAGCATTTTAAATGTGTGCTATTATTACTGTAAGCCACACACCCAACTCATGTCAATTTACCAAAGTTTCTGTATTATCTTTCAAGTTGACTACAACCAACACTCCAGGAGAATAGCAATACAGGAACAGGGTCGTGTAAATATAAACTGTGAGACGTACGATCTTAGCTAAACAATAAAGTAAGCGCAAAATTATGACCATCTATAATCCACATCATATCTTCTCCCATCTATTCAGTCTGTGATATTGTTGCGTCAGCGAGGTCACGTGACTAGTATCACGCCACCCGTTT